TGGCCTCCGCCTGGTGGGGCGTCGCTTCATCTCCGAAAGGCCCTCTCCTCAAGGCTGGGGCTTCCTTCGGGATCATCTAAGGGGGAAGGCTGGGTTTCCTTCTTTCTGGCTTTGACCCGATCCTCAGTGCGAGCTGTTGTTATTGTTGTCGTTGTCATCATTACGCCTTTGTCATGACCGTCTTGGTTGGCTGGCTCGCTCAGCGCTTTCGGCATCTCGCTGCGGAGCCGGAGTCTGTTGGGAGTTCGATTCCCCGCTGGGGCCTCTCCCAGGAAGAGGCATCCTTGGGCAAATACTTCGTTACTGTGTTACTGTGGGATTTGGGCACTTAGGCGCCAAAATAAGTTGACTGCTGGCTCCTGGCTGGTATTAAGAGTTGCGAGGGAGGCACTACTGTATTGCCCTTTCTGTTTAGGCAGGAAAATGTCCGGTGAGGATCTTGAATCCTACCAGTTCCTTTTTCCCACCGTAGACTAGGATGAAGGACATAGGAAGGATAAGGTAAATGGCTGAATAGCATTTACAGGTATCAGATCAGAATTATTAATGTGCTCATTTAGAACAACCGCTTGACTGTTCCAGTGCAGGCACCTTACACTCTGCTTCCCTGAACCCATTACTTTTTAAAGTGCTTTGATGCTATTAAGATATATCTTGCCATGCAGGATTATTCTTTTTTACATTCCAGACTGAGGGTGCGGATAGTGCCTGGAGTCCTATTAGTGTTCGCATAAGATTTGTTTAATGTGCTGTAGCTAATTGTACATAATTGACAAGGTGCCAGCGAGCATCTTGGTTGTGCAGGTGCGTGACCAGGCGGGTGACCGAGACGTATCCTGGTACCTTGCCAACTAGCCCAGATTAGCTGTGGTAGGTTATAAAAACCTGACACAAACACCACCAGGATTCTGGTTGTTGCTAGAGGCAGTCAAAGGAAATGGGAAAAACTGTTATGCCTCCAACACGTAAATTAAAACAAGCTTAAGGCCTTTGTGTTGAACTAAGGATAGATGTGTGATAATAATAGTAGGAACCATTATAGTGGGACAATCCTTTTCTCTTGAAAGCTAGTACACATTATTATGTCTTTTGGGCTGGTATCGTAAAATCATTACACTAATTTTATTCCACTAACCAAAATGATAAGCTTAATGAATCATTTCCTTAGGGGGCTCTTAAAAAAATAAATGCCAGAATTTACAAGTTCAAAGAAAGGGAATCAGGTGTGAAATTTAAATCCAGATTAAAACTTGGAACCATGGAACACAATTCTGCATACAAGTACTTTGGGAGAGATGCAGTGGTGTGAATGTGGAGATGTGTGCTTGCTTTATTGACTGCAAGAAAGGTTTGGACAAAGTCCAGCATGGCAGGCTGAACAAAGGTCTTGATTCAAGAGACATTGGTATAATTGACAAACTAAACCAACAGCAGAAAACTGCAGTAAATCTTAAAGATCAGGTGACAGAGGGCAAAGAGATGCAAAGAGGAGTGCAAGGATATTCCCTCATGAGGCACAAAGCAGTTGCTTCACTCCCTACCATGCCTCTAATGACATGATGGATTTAAGTGCATGCCATCATCAGCTCCCTTGCGCCTGCTTTTCAATTTGTACCCTGAGAACTAGAATAGCACTTGCTGATTTAAATTACGGCATCATTGCCAGTAAAGAAGTTATGAACAACGGTATTCTTGGCTGACAGTTTAAATGGTCTGCAAAGGTTGATCAGTGAAGTTTCTTTTTGTGTGTGAATTTGTGATCTATATTTGTCACCCATCATATTGATTATATTGTTTGTCTAAGTTTTAATCTGTAGACTGCCCAGAGTAGTGTTCCACTGAAGGGGCAATATATAAATAATATAAATAAAGTAAATCAGTGAGAAAGTAACGAATATAGTTTTAAAATTTATAATCAGAAAACTGTCTTCTTGTAATCAAGTGGTAAGCAGTGGAAGAAATATGGTTAAAGATCCATTATGCATATTTGGAAAATAAAAGTGCCTAAAATTTCATGCACTTGATTGAATGAACAGTGGAATCATGCAAATGCAATAAAAGTTAGAATAGATGGCCTGGAGCAGCTTTTTAAAGATGAAGAATATGATATGCAACAAAAACTTAAAATGAGGTTTGAGAATATCCACTGTATGGTGCTATATATTATCAAGTCTCCTGCATGACATGAAATTGTGGACTTTAACACAATAAATTATAAATACAGAAAACACGCAAATGCAGAAAGCAAAAATATTCTGGTCAGATAATAAACAAAAAACTCAGTTACAGATTTTCATTCTAAGTGAAATAAATGGGAGAAGTGCAGGAAAGAGATTGGCTGAAACATCTGGTAGACTGGTTAGAGCAAGCTCATCCAAAACACCCACACACACACACACCCACACACCCACACACCCACCCACACACACACACACACACACACACACACACACACACATGTTATGAGTATTCTGTATCATTCTGTGTGCTCTAGGGCAGCAGTCCCCAACTTTTTTAGCACCACAGACTGGCTGGGGAAGGCAGGGCAGCCCCCAGTGCTCACGCACAGGCGGGAAGGTGGTGTGTGCGCATGTGCAAAGGGCAGCACGGCGCTCTTGGGGGTGCATGGACACTTGTGCACATGCGCAAAGGGTGGAGCAGCGCTCATGCGGGTGCACGCTTGCTTGCACACAGGTGCAAACAGGCTGTGTGTGTGTGAGTGCGTGTGGGGGTGGGTGGGGAGGTCTGTTCTTGGGACCTCTGCTCTAGTAGGAAGCTAATGGAAGACTGCTCTTGTGGCCTGCCATATTTCACATCTCCTCTTGTACATTTGAAATGGGATTAGTGCACAAACAGGTTGTGGGCTTTTTGTGCCCAGTTGCTCTAGAATAAAAGTCATAAGAATTAACTTCCCAATTGAGGCATGTTTTTTCTCTTATCTAGCTGTGGCATAAATCTTCATCACACGGTTTATAACATCTCATAGATGCAGACACTCCTGTTAAGAGCAAGACTTCTCAGAATGCTTGGGAATGTCACTGTGCTAGTGTGCCCATTGCAAATTGATGTATTTTCATTCTTCACTTTCTCAAAGGTCTCAAGTAGTTGAATTTCACTTGTGTGTGTCGTATTTTTAACCCTCATTCCTCCTAGATGTGTTTTTTTACCAGCAATTGTGACTTTGTATCAGCTGTACCATTTCAAACAGAAATGACCCCTTATATTTAAAAAATCCTGCATAAAAAAACGCAAGTATCTCAGGAAGAAGACTAAGTTAGAACCTTCTCCTAGCATCTCATTTCCCCTCAGGATGGGAAAAGGCAACAGGGCAACATGGTTATTCCACCAACCCGGTTGACAAGCCCTTTACAATGGAATTCTTCCTCCACCATCACTTGGCAAGCAGCCTTGACCTCAGACTGAGGTGAGCGGGAAAAGGGAAACAGGTCCACTCTGTCAGTTCTGCTGAGCAGGGCTGGCCCAGCTATTAGCCAGGCGAGGCAGTTGTCTCAGGCAGCAGATCACTAGGGGTGGCAGCAGAACTGTCATCCGTGTCTAAGCTGGCATGTAGTGCCACAACTCACCACTTACTCTGACCGCTGTTGCTGCTTTCCTGCCTCCAAAGCTAGGGATATATTTACATAGCTGGTGGGAAAGCAGCCACACTACAGAGGAGAGGAAGTGGATAGGAGAAGGCATTGCTGTTGCTGCCACCCTCGTCCTCCCCCATCTCTTGATGGCGGCAGCAAAAGAGCAGCATGTTGCAGAGTTTTGAATTTCTGGTTAAATTCCTCTAGCTGTGCTGTGCAAATGCAGGGATTCATAGAGTAGAATAGCTTCAAGTTCCCCAGAGTAGTCAACTTCTTTTCTCATTAACAGGCACTTAAAGTCTAAATAAGT